ACTATACAGGGTGTTTGATAGCTGATCATGCAGACGAAAGTTGGAGATAGATTGGGTGTAGCCGAGAAGAAAAGTCATGTACCATAATGTCAAATTGCCAATAGTTATCGAGTTATTAATTAAAACATGTGAGCCAACGAGCGCGTAGAGAGCGGAAGGCGGCCGCAGTAAGCACGTAGACATTTGATACAGGCGGAGTCAGCGAGTGACGATAGGCAAGCGCGCGCGGCGAGGGGCAACGTAAACGACAAGAGGCGATCGCGCGCGACGAGGAGCGAGCAAGCTTCTTCTTCATAGCTTTTTCCTTATAGCTCGCTCGCTCCTCGTCGTTTGCGCTCGCTCGCTCTTCGTCGCGCGCGTTCGCCTCTTGTTGTTTACGTTGCCCCTCGCCGCGCGCGCTCGCTTACCGTTACTCGCTGACTCCGCCTGTATCAAATGTCTACGTGCTTACTGCGGTCAGCCTCCGCTCTCTACGCGCTCGTTGGCTCACATGTTTTAATTAATAACTCGGTAACTATTGGCAATTTGACATTATGGTACATGACTTTTCTTCTCGGCTACACCCAATCTATCTCCAACTTTTGTCTGCATGATCAGCTATCAAACACCCTGTATATAAAATAAGTCATGGATGAAAATTACTTATGAAGAAATTTTCTTATTCACTGTATAAAATATATAATATGTAATAACTATGGAGCCCGTGTTAAAGATCTAGGCACCCTATATATAAAATAAAAAGTTTTATGTTAACCTATTAGAGCCCATAGCTAACTCTGCTGGTATATCATATAAATAACATATGGTATCCTCTAGTATGATAAAAATAACAAATTCGGCGGAAAAATATTGCAAAAAGAATTTATTTATAACAAAATTGTTTAAACAATTTATATAAAAAATGATTGTTTTGAAAATCTGATGCTGCCAAGCGATTTCGCTTTGAAAATTAGGTAAAAAACAATCTTTTTTTTTTAAGTCGTTTAAACAATTTTGTTACAAAAAGTTATTTTTGCAATTTTTTTCCGCCGAATTTATTATTTTTATCATACTAAAGGATTCCATTATGTCCATATGTCATTTAAGTAATATTCCAGCTAAGTTAGCTGGTATGCTTTTTCAATCATCGGCCGCTTCTACGACGCGCATTAAGAAGCACGGTTAGTCAATCGCACAATATATTACACATCTTCGCGCTCAGGCATTTACGTGATACACGAAGAGAGCACAGTCTTTTCATCGAAGCCTCTATAAAGCAAAAAATATATATATAAACAGAAAAACAATAATAAAATAAAAAAAATATATAAAAAAATATAAAATATATAAAAATAAATAAAAGTAAACTTAATAACATATTATAAATATATAACAATATATTTTAACAGTATATATATTATATAAAGAAATGGCAAACTTCGCGGTGACGTGTGTGTGCGTTCTATTCGTAGTCTGGGCCTGGTGGTGGCAGAAAGAAAAACAGAAGTGATTTTCTTTCATCAAAGGGGAAGGAAGCCACCCCAGGCCCGGATCCGTGTAGGATCAGTCAGGGTCCAGTTAGAGGCCCAGATGAAATATCTAGGCCTCACCCTGGACGGCACCTGGTGCTTCAGGGAGCATTTTAACCGTCTGGTCTCCCAGCTGAGAATAATCTCAGCCAACCTGGGCAAATTAATGCCCAATGTCGGGGGACCAGACCGGAAAGCCCGTCGCCTCCACACTGGGGTACTGAATTCGGTTGCGCTGTATGGCGCGCCGGTATGGGCCGAATCTCTGGCTGCCAGCCGCCCTCTACAAGCGCTTTTGCGCAAAGCGCACAGGGCGGTGGCAGTACGGGTGGCCTGCTGTTGCCGGACAGTATCCCACGTGGCGGCGACGGCTCTGACGGGCATGCCCCCCCTCGAGCTCCTGGACCTGATGTACTGTAACATGTACATCAGGAAGCGGGAGCTCATAAATGGGGGGGGGCCGCAGATGAGGGGCTCGCCGGAGCATTGAGACGCATGAAGCACCAGGCTCGACAGGTCCTCCTCCAAAGATGGCAGAGAATCCTGGTCAATGCCAGGTATGGGAGGAGGACCGTCGAGGCCGTCCAGCCCTGCCTGCAGGAATGGACAGGCAGGGAATTCGGGACCCTGACTTTTAGGATGGCACAGGTACTCACCGGGTATTTCGGTGAGTACCTGTGCAGAGTAGGGAAGGAACGCACAACACATTGCCATCATTGTGGACACGACCACGACTCCGCGCAGCATACCGTCCAGGATTGTCCAGCCTGGGCGGCGGAGCGCGGAGTCGTGGTAAGGGAATTGGGCAACGACCTCTCGCTCCCCGCAATTGTGAGAATCATAGTGGAGAGCGAGAGGAAATGGAAGATTTTTGCCTCCTTCTGCGAGACAACCGTCTCGCAGAAGGAGGAAGCAGAGGAGATTCGCCGACAGGCGGAAGGGCGCGGGAGAAGAAGGAGGATATAGCGCCACCGGAGATGGAGAGCGGGGAGGAGTAGGAGCGGGGAGGGGGATATCGACTCTTCGGAGGAAGAGGCTGCGAGATTGATGGCGCAGCCACCCCCTCAACCTGCTCCCCCTCCCCCCCCAGAGGGATGCCACCACCATCACCAAGAGAAAGAGACCCCATTGCCCGACGGGTCACCTGTAGAGGGAGGACCGGGAGGGGGGGAGCAGGGCGTAACGACGACGCAAGGAGGGCAACAGCGGCGCCAAATGGATTACCGCTGTCTACCTCAACTGGGGCAGGAGGAAACCCGAGGAACAGGAGGATGGACAATCCGCCCTCCCGTTATCGACCACCGACTCCCAGAACGGGAGTTGGATGAGGATAAAGGGGGGGAAAGGATACAGCGGTGGCGTCGTCAGTGCGTTATGTACCTCTCTCCCCTTCAAGCCCACTTAAATGGGCCCAAAGAGAAGGGTCTCGATGACCCTTCTCTCCCTCCGATAGGAGGCGTGATTGCCCGGCAGCTAGGGGATCTTTCCCCCCCGTAACCGCTAGGCGGGAGAGTGGGGCACCGGGCGGGGACTCCCGGTGCTCCAACCAGTCCTCCAACGTAGGGCGGCCGGCTGAGAAGGTGGATCAGCCGGCTGCACAACATGTACTGGCGGCGCCTCGTCTGGTCAGGAACGGTGGTTGAAGCGGGCTTCGGCCGGCTTCCCCCTTCCTGACCGTAGAGACGAGGCGTGAGGGGTAGGAAAGGGGAGCGGTGGTCGAAGCGAGCCCTCGGGCTGGCTTCCCCCTCCCCTGGGGGAGCGGTGGTCGAAGCGAACCTTCGGGTTGGCTTCCCCCCTCCCTCCACCCCTCAGGGACAGAAGGCATAACACCTGGACTCGGGACCCCGATCAGCAGTCACGCGCGGCTCCGGGGTCCCGGCCCAAGTCCCTTCGCAGCGCCACCTGGGGAGGTTTTAGCCGGTAGGAGTCCGGCATAACCCTGGCCCTTCCCCGAGGATCAGGGTATCCATGATGGATTTCCTCCTCGTAAAAAAAAAAAAAAAATTATATAAAGAAAAACGGCTCAATGTCCGAGAATCGCTATACTTCACCATGCTGTGCGGCGGTCTTCTCGATCGCTCTGTATGGGGCGCCCATATGGGCGTCGCAGCTCCTGGCCTGCCGCAGCGGAAAACGCGTACTGCGGCAAGCCTTGAGACCTGTGCTAATCAGGGCGACTCGGGGGTACCGAACCGTGTCGTACATGGCGGCGACCACCCTGGCCAGTACCCCTCCCGTGGAGCTCCTCGCCGAGGAGAGACGAATCCTTTATTGGAGGGTGAGGGAGCTCCGCGAGGAGGGGGAACTCACGGCCAGGGGCCTGGCGGCCCTGAATCTCCAGGCCAGAGCCCGGACCCAGGAGAGGTGGAGGGACGTTTTGTCCGACCTCCTGGGACCGGGCTCGCGACGGCCGAGGCTGTCCGCCCCTGTCTGTCTGAACTGACAGACAGGAGGGGATGTGGAATGTCCTTCTACCTGGTGCAGGTACTGACGGGGCACGGATGCTTTGGTAGGTACCTGCACCGGATAAGGAAGGAGCCCACCACCCGATGCCACTACTGCCCTGTGCTTGAGGACACGGCGCATCACACCCTGGCTGCGTGCCCAGCATGGGTCGGGGAGCGCCGTGTCCTCGCCAGGGCGGTGGGATGCCGCAGGGGGGAGCTCTCGCTCCCGCGCATGGTTTTCACCATGCGCGGGAGCGAAGAGGCGTGGTCAGCGGCGGTCTCCTTTTGTAGGACAGTAATGTCCTAGAAGGAGACCGCCGAGTGGAGGCGGCGACCGGGAAGGCGACGCAGGGGCCGACACTCCCCGGGGGTGGGATCGGCAGCGGGTTCGAGGTAGCGTCGGCCGAGGAGAGGGCACCCGCCCACAGGGGCGGGGAACTTCCTCGGCCGCCTCGGGCCCGCTTTCGGCCGCGGGGGGAGTAGGGAGGGAATCCCTGCCCCCCCCCCCGAGCGGTTGGAAAGGTAGGGAAAGGGGGGAGTGGCACCCCAGTTGGGGCTGGGAGCACTCCCCCAAAATCCTCCCCCTCCGATAAACATAGGGGGGGTAAGGAAGGAGGGTGGATGTTCCCTCTCTCCTCAGGAGAAACCAGAAGGCTAACCGGCGGGGCAACCCGCCGGGAACCTCGCCCTCCCACTAATTTCCCCGGAACGGGGAAAGGGGGCGAGGTACAGGGGCGAGAGGCTCCCGGTTTGGAGCCTTGGGGCCGGGGGGTTGGGGAGGGAATACGGGAGTAGTTCCCCTGACTCCCTTCTCACCGGTCCGACAGGTAGACATCCTGCAAGGGTTTTAGTCGGTAGGAGTCCGACATAACCCCCGCCCCCCGAGAGGCGGGGGTATTCATGATGGATTTCCCCTGCGTGACCAAAAAAAAAAGGATCAAGTTGTTCACCAGGTGTAAGAGACATTTCATCAACGCCAAGTACGCAATCATGTTGTCTGTCATCTTCAAATTGTTGAATTTTCTTTTTTATGGCATGAAAAATATCATCTATTATTCCTAGGGTAGAGACTTCTTCTTAAAGTACGTGTTGATGGTAATGGAATCTTTTGATTAATCAGTTCTTGATAACCATTATTAGTACAAGAGAATTTTATTCGAAGAGCTTTTTTAATAGTTATTTTAGAACACTTGTACACACGTCGCTTGCTTGAATTTGATTTTAACCACTCAATTTGATCATTGTTGAACACTTTTTGAAGTAACTGTGTTGATTGTGACAAAGTGTTTTCTACACGTAGCTTATTTGTACTTCTGTATCGTCTAATACGATTCATGAGAGTTTCTCGCGTTTTGTCACATTTCTTAAGTACTTTATTAGCAATCTCAAGTTGTTGTTTCATTTGTTTTACTTCTGTTTCTTTATGTTCCAGCTTTTGTTGTAATAATGTTATTTGTTCTAAAGCATATTCCAATGTAAATGGTGTTACATTGAATATTGATGAAGATGTAGTTGCAGGCACATTTGTGTTCTCATTATTTACATTATTTTCACTTGACGATAATAAATGAGTATTGCAATGTATCATCTGATCATATACTTCAATATTGTCAATAAATGGTGGACATGAATTATTCTCTATTGCAGAATGCTCTTCATCAACATTACTTACAACTTGAGAACAATTGAATACAATGCTTGTAGGTTCTTCATTATTTTCATCGTTGTTTTTATTATATTTTAACTTCTTTAGTTTTCCATCGACAGGTTCCGACATTACTTTTGTATAAGGAAAACTTGTTGGCACTGCTTGTGCTTTTAATTTCTTGGAACCATCCTGTCGCGGTTTTCCCCACATTTCTTTAGTAAAATGAACCTACAAATACAATTAGATGAGAAACATGTTTTGTTTACTATTTGATATAATTACATGCTTACCTCACAAATTGCTGAATATTGTTTCGGTTTCCAGTTTTCTCTTCCAATTTGTTTCAACCATATAATTTTTTGTTTTTTACTTATTGGAAAACGTTTCATATAGAAGTTATTTTCGCTTCTATTTCTGCATCCCGGTATGCAACAACCAGTCATTTTTAAAATATTTTTATAAATATTTTTATATATAGTCCTCTTATTGTGTTGGAAGTTTTTTCCAATGATGTTGTTATCACTTGCATGTGCACGCGTAAAAACTAGCAAAATCTAGAAAAATCTATTACTTATTATATGGACAGCAAAAAGATTTGCTAAGTGTACTAATCACTATTTGTTAGATATAATTTGCTGAATCTGCGAATTATTTTGCTGTAAGAACAAATTAGTTTTGTCCAGTTAACAAATTCGTTTGCTGCATTAACAAAACAATTTTGCTAGCCCCTGAGGTAAAAAATAGTTGAACTGGGACCTGAACCTGAGATCTCTTAAGCTATTGGCTTTTGAGTTATTCGTCTTTCGTACTGTGCCATTGCTATCGACTGATGGGAAGGACCTTTTCAGTCATATAATGGTCATGGTTGTCATGATTGTCATTTGTAGCAGCAGTGGTAGTTTTGCTGGGATAGCAAATATATTTGCTAAAAATATAAAATAACAAATTAGCGTGATTCTAAGGACAAATACATTCAGCAAATTGTTTTTGTTCTCGCAACAAAACAGATTCTGCTCGAATAATTCGTAAAATTAGTTGTGTCAACTAAGTTTTCTAGTTGTCACTACGAATATGTAGTAGCAATGACGATTTTGTTGTTACAGAAAATTTATTTTTCTCCGTGCAGAGAGGAAGAGAGAGAAATATTCGTTAAAAAAAGCGCTAGCGTTGCAAATTTCGTCAAGTCGCGCTCGTGTCGTTTACATTAATTGCTTATTTCTCGGTAACCGCTAATAATAACATCATAAAAGAACACTATCTTCTCCACAGTCTTTTCTGTCTGAATTAGTGATTCATATTGATATAACTTGTACAAGTTCGTCAAAATAAGCGCCAACGTTGCAAATTTCGTCAAGTCGCTCTCGCGTTAATTGCATTAATTGCTTAATTAATATCAATAACGCTTATTTTAACGAAGCTGATCTATCAACATAAACTACTAATTACAACAGAGAGGATTGTGGAGAAGATAGTGTTTTTGGAATGACGATATAATTAGCGGTTCCCAACAATTAGGAAATTTATTTTATATTTATTATATTAATTATTTATTATATTAATTATTTATTATATTAATTATAATTTATTTATTAGGAAATTTATTAGACGACGCGTGCGCAAGCGCCGAAGATATCTACATCATTAGAAAAGCATTATCTTCTCCATAATCTGTTCTGTTTGAATTATTTGTTTATATTGATACGATTGGCACAGTTTTATTAATTACGGCGTGAAAATGCGCATTAACTTCGCGACGCACAGTGGATCGAAACATAACAAAGTACGGACATAATCAAATATCTCGAAAAATATTCAATTTCCGATAATTTTACCTTAATACTTTTATACGTAAAACGGAATAAGGAACCGAATGTAAAAATGTTATGTAAAAAATATTAGGTGCGCAACTAAGTTCTCGCTGTTTTTTTGATGAAAATGCAACTTTATTGTGAAAAAATGGCTACAAATGAATCATTCAAAATATTGCCCATCGCTAGCGACAACTTTTTCCCATCTTTCTGGCAGAGCTCGAATACCGTCACGGTAGAAGTGTTCGTCTTTTGAGGCTATCCACGAATCAAGCCATTTTGAGATGTCTTCATATGAGCGGAACTGCTGATTAGCCAGACCATGTGCCATCGAACGGAACAAGTAATAATCAGACGGCGCAATATCTGGGGAATATGGCGGGTGGGGTAGGACTTCCCATTTGAGCGTTTCTAAGTAGGTTTTAACGGGTTTGGCAACGTGAGGCCGAGCGTTGTCATGCTGTAGAATCACTTTTTCGTGCCTCTGCTCGTATTGTGGCCGCTTTTCGCGCAGTGCTCGGCTCAATCGCATCAATTGAGTTCGATACCGTTCCCCAGTGATGGTTTCGTTCGGTTTCAACAGCTCATAATAAATAACACCGCCCTGGTCCCACCAAATACACAGCAAAACCTTCGCAGCGTGAATATTCGACCGAGCCGACGACGTAGAAGCATGACCGGGCAGTCCCCATGATTTTGTTCTCTTTGGGTTGCTGTAATGAATCCATTTTTCAACACCCGTAACGATGCGATGAAGAAAACCCTTCCTTTTTTGCCGCTGGAGCAGTTGTTCATAGGCGAAAAAACGACGCTCAACATCTCTTGGCTTCAAATCATAAGGAACCCAAGTTCCTTGAATCATTCCCAACGCATGCAATCGCTTGGAAATGGCTTGGCGGGTAACTCCTAATGCTGAAGCAAGCTCTTTTTGCGCTTGGCACGGATCCTCATCAAGCAATGCCTCCAAGCGTCTTCGAAGGTTTTTGGCCTTGCTTCACGCGAACGGTCGTCAATATCGAAATCACCGTCTTTGAAGCGACGGAACCAATCAGGCACGTTGTTTCACTTAGAGCAGCATCTCCGTAAACTTTTTGGAGTTCTCGATGCGCTTCAGCCGCCGTTTTCTTCGAATGAAAAAAGAAAAGCAACACTTCCCGCAAATGACGATTATTTGGCACAAAATCAGACATTTTCACACAACCAAAAATATATGACGCAAAAACAAAATCACTAATGTGTCAAAGCGGTTTGTTTACCATATGTCTAAGCTTGGTTCATGACGTTTTGGTTATGTCACAATCGACCAGCACTTACTACTGGAGCCATCTCTTGAAAAACAGCGGGAACTTAGTTGCGCACCTAATATAATTTATAAAAAAATAGACCTTGAAATAACCTTGAAAGAATAATTTCTCTGTCGTAATTATATTATCACCTTATTTTACTTCTAAAATAGTACAATTTTTATTTCATCAATTTTTTGTAATGCCTGCTACTTACGAGTTATGGAGTTTTTATGTCTCATGTAAACCACTATGTATTTAGGGTGTCTGAAAAATTTTAGTCCATCCAATTTGTATAGATAGAACAGGTGAAATTGAACAAAAAGGTCGTATAAAATTTTCCAAGAATCGCAATAGTTACTAAGTCATTAATAATTGAAAATAGCCACATTTAAATGCTTTTTTAATTGATAACTTGAAAATTTGTGTATTTATTTGCAAAATGGTACAGGACTGTTTTGTTCAGAATGACCTAATCTACTATTATATGACGGCAATGATGCCTAACGTTAGTAATGAATATATTGAACTTTTAACCCTGAAATTTAAACCCATCGCTAGGCACAATAGTCGTCATATAATTGTAAATTAGGTCATTCTGAACAAAAAAGTCCTCTACCATTTTGCAAATAAATACATAAATTTTCAAGTTATCAATTTAAAAAATCTCTAAATGTGGCCATTTTCGTTATTATTAACTTGTTAGTAACTATTGAATTACTCGGAATTAGTTGTAACTTTTGCCTCTTTTCGCAGAGATACGCCTTTTTTGTCCCTTTGCCCGCGTGCACCGTAGCAGCAGCCCTCATTTTGATCGGTAGTGGGATGAGGACTGCTGCTGCGGTGCGCGCGGGCAAGGGAACAAAAGAAGGCGTATCTCTGCGAAAAGAGGCAAAAGTAACAACTAATTCCGAGCACTAGTCTAGTTTAGTAGATAATTAACCAAATGCAGAAGAATTGCAACTATGTTGTAAATGGTATTATTACATAGTGAAAAATGACATTTTTCCTTATTCAACAATACTATTACAGTGCGCAAGTACGTGCATGTGTATATATATATATACGTATATATATATATATATACATACATTACATACATACATATATATATATGTAACGTTATATAAAGACAGGTAATATATAGATATTGAAGTATATAACATAATACTAGGTGCGCAACTAAGTTTCCGGGTTTTTTTGATCAATGAAAAATGGAAAATTTCAAGAGAAATACAAAAAATGGTTTATTCAAAGTATCGTCCTTCGCTAGCTACACATTTTTGTCATCTCTCTGGCAATACATGAATACCGCGACGATAAAACGACGCGTCTTTGGACTGAAACCATTTATCCAACCAATTTTGCACTTCTTCGAAATTGGCCAAGTGTTGCCCAGCCACAAGTTATGCGCCATCGACCGGAACAAGTGATAATCGGAAGGGACCAGGTCTGGCGAATATGACGGGTGCGGTAACAGATCTCATTTCAGCGTTTTGATGGTGTCCTGCAGGCTTATTCTGAAATTTCTTTGCGTTATAACTTCATTAACGAAATTTGCGTTAACTCACAACGCATTATTCTTGAGAATCCTGTTCTATAAGCTACGTTAGTGCCTTGCGTTATGAGTCATCTGTTCTTCGGGCATCTTCGGGAATATAACGCAAGTTGTGGAGGAACTAGGAGGTAATGATGACGCAATAATCTATATACCAATCATAGCGAAAGATTTAAAATATTTCAATCGGCTTAAGTAAAGTTGTTTGTTCCGGATTATTGAAGAAATCCGATTACGAAAGAAGAAGAAGAAGCTGTTTGCGCTGTTTGTACACATATACCAAAGAAAAACATTCAAGGTTATGTATATTTTACTTACTATATATATAACATATATTAGGCTATGTGCACACATTTGTAATAAATAAATTGTAGTGAATAATTAGTTTGTTTTTACGTAATGTACGAAAAGAATAGGTACATAACCTGATTTAACTAATGAACAATATGTTCTTACAGTATGGAAGTTGCACAGAAAAAGAAAAAAACCCCTAAAACAACAAACAAGCAATTAGATTTCCTTATTACATATATGGAAAACCATACAGCGTTTGCCACAGGCAAATTATTAGGAGCAAGAGGAAAGCCAGTTTACGACTTACAATGGCAGCAATTAATTGAACAGTTAAATAGCTTCGACGGCCCATCAAAAGGTACAGAAGGTTGGAGAAAAATAAGTTTTATTGTATATTTCTATCATAATTAAAGTATTATTTCCTCACATTGTTTTCTTTATTATTAAAATGCTATTTTTTTATAATGTTAATATAACGTTATGCATCTTATGTAGCTCTAGTGCATCTGTGATAGGTGTCATCAGCCAAGGTTCCAAACCATAGCCTGCATCGCTTATAATCAAATAAACATTTTTATGTACATTATTAGGTAAATAAATATAAAATAATCGTGATACTTATCCAAAAGCCATGTTGTTCGATCTCCAGAATCATATAATCGTTGCATTTCGTCTCCTATGGTAGAATGTCTCCATATAAAGCTGTCATGGACACTTCCAGGAAATCTAGCATTGACGTTTAAGATTTCCAAATCGTGTGACGCTATCTTATTATAAATAATACAAGTATGCATTAAGTTTCTTTTTGAATTTGTATAGTACATTATATATTATATATTTTTGTAGTGAGTATACTTACTGCCTGTACATTAATTGAATGGAAACCTTTTAAGGTTTGTATATGATTCCTCGTGATGTTTTGGTCTCACAATAGCGACATGAGTGCAATCTATGCAACCTATTACTCCTTTAAAATTCCTTTCCTTTTGAAATCTGTAAAAATATATTGTACAAAACAATATTATAAGAAAATTATAAAAAAAATTATAATTTAGTGAATAGACAAATTTATTTAATATTATTTAAAGAAAGATTTGTAAAAAAAATCACAACAGTTAAGTGCAATCATATATAAATTACTTCAATTTCCTGATATTATTATATTGTTTTCTTAAGAAAAATATAAATTGTTTAATCAGAGTAAATTTCTAACGGTCTTTTATAATTGTAAAAGGATGTTACTTTTCTTTTAAAGCTGCTCGTTTTTCCTCTGTGTTTGGGAATTTGCTCCACTCAATGGCAAGCAATTGCGTGATACCCATCACTACTGCTTTTATTGCTCTGCTAGTTGCTGGTTGTGATATAGATATCAGATAATCATTACCAATAACTTTTTGATAAGAACCTATAGGAAAAAAACGCAGTGCAGCTAAAACCTGTAAATAGTTAGTAATATATAGTTTTTTATTATACAAATTTGAACAAAATCAGTTTACAGTCATGGACATCAATAAAGTTGTTCGTTATGTTTTCAATATAGTTCGGAACGCAGTCTAATAAGAGAACTTGTTTTGAAAACTTTTCAGCAAATAAGTTCTCTCGTTGAACCATCAATTGCGTTCCAAACTGTATCTAAATATAGCGGAAAACTTTAATGTCCGCATGTCTATTATGTATTTTAAAGTTATATTAGAATTTACATAATTACCTATGTTTCTACATAGGTATCTACATAGGTATCTACATAGGTATACTTAATCCTCTCCTTCCTTTACGTTGCAAAATATTTTGAAGTGAGTCACATATATAAATTACTGCTTCTTTTGATAAGCGGAAAACTCTTATAAATTGTTCATCCGTTAAATTAAATGGATTAATACTATCTCTCAACTCTTTCATTATTAGAGAATTTTCCCTCTTTTCTTCCTTTCCCACATCATTTAGCATATTGATAAGTATTCCACCAGCCATTTTATTCACAATAAAAAATATTAATATTAACTTAACCTTGCAAGATCGCGTTATGACATTAACGTTTTCCGGCAGCCAGCGTTAGCATTACTTTACGTAACGCAAGAAAATACGTTACAAATTGCGTTAAAGTGGTTTACAGAATACGGATTTATAGCGAAAAATAATATAACGCAAACTTAACGTTAATGTAACGCAAATTGACGACGCCATACATTAAGATGCATTTATAGAATACGAAATCGTAAAATATGCGTTACGAGCCATATAACGCATGCGTTATATTTTGTGACGTGGCAGCCGGAAAGGCGCCCGTCACAGGCCGACCTTTCGGCCCTTAGGCGAGACTCTCGGGGGGGGGTGTCGCCTTGCGCTCTCCCCCGTAATAATTAGCGTTAGTAGTCGGAGCGCGCAGGTGGAACGGTCCCGCGTCCCCGAGCTCTGTGCCCCTGGACCTCCTGCGCCGCACATCAGGAGAGGAGGGATCGGTGGAGGAAGGAAGAGGATGACACCCCCTCGGCAAGACCGCCACCCCAGGTGAATGCACTCCTCCTTTAATAATGCTAGTATCGGTTTCGTATCGTCGTGAAAGGTTCTCGCTGTCGCTTCCGTTGTCCACAGGCCTGCAAGGATATCGTGCCGAACGGTCGGCGTTCCCGTGCTTGGCGCGTGAACGCCGGCTAAACAAAGCCAGCCTGAACAATGAGATCGGGCGAGTGTGAGCAAGAGAGAGAGAGAGAGTGAGCAAGAGAGTGAGACCGAGCACCCGTCCCGCGGATCGAAAAACAAAGATCCGCGGAAGGATTCCCGTATCGGGAGATTTTACCGAGGAACGGGGAGAGGCGGGTAGCACGAGACAACACCGACGGACAAGGAAGTCTGTCCGGGGAGAAGGAGATAAAAAGAAGAGTCTCCTGTTGTCGCTCTCGAATATCGCAGATCTGCTTCGATATAGTACCGGAAACTATCGGCTATCGAAAAAGTGAAGATACAGTTGAGGGATTTAGTGGGTGGAGTTCTTGGCGTCAACCAGCGGAGGAGACGTCAGTGGCAGCGTGTGCCAGAGCGAGCGAGAGAGGGAGACGAGAGGAGGACCACGTCGCCGGGAGGTTCCCGATTGTGTAAGACCTTCCACCTGCATTATCGTTTCGGTGTCGTGAGAATAGAAAGTCTCGTTAAAATTACCGGCGTAGCGGGCAATCTCGAATTCGCGAGAGCCCAAGCGGAGTGTATCGTACCGAGGGGGTCGGACCGTTCCGATTCCCGAAAGAATAAAGCTAACGATAGTCAAAACGCGCCTCGTTATTTTTGTGTTTTCCCGGTCGTTCCCGACTTCCGACGAACCCTTCCCGTCTACCGACTTAAATACCGCAGGGCTACCGGTCCCGTCGACTTCGCGTGTCTCGGCCCTTTGGTGAGGTGTCGCGTAGCATTGGTGAACGGTGCAGCCCGCTGCACCTGGCGCCCAACCAATTTTGGTGAGAGCTAGGTTGGCCGAGGCGCGCGGACCGACGGCAGTTTGCCGACGGCGAGCGATAATCGCGTCGCAAATTTTTGGCGCCCAACGTGGGACCCGATTTCGGCGAGATAATTTCCGCTATTTGGTCGAGACAAAGGAGGATAATTTAAATTAACCGAAAGTCGCGAAAACGACGACACGTCTCGGCTCGTTTTTTTGCTCGACTCGTGTTTACGGTTTTTCGGGTTCCGGGTTGCCGACGCTAAGCACGACTTTCCGTGTTTTCGTTTTTTTTTCGGTGGGATTTCGGCACGTGCGAGATCGTTTGTCGCGGTGCAAGAATTATCGATTATTTTCGCTCAGAGTTTCTTGGCTATATTTTTTTTTTTTCCCGTGATCACGCTCTGCTCGGGATATCGAGGCTGCTCTTGTTGTGGTGGTGTCCCGGTGTTTGTCTTGGTGGCTACCAAATTGTCGGGGTGATTGTTGGTGTTGGGGGACCATTTTTTTTTCTTTCTCGTGTACCGTTCTTCGTGTGCCGTAACGGCTAATAGCGCCGTTGAAGAGGCTCCCGTCAGGCTGGTCGCTTCCACACCAAAGTTTAGGCTGCGGGTTTCTCGTAACGCTTAGGATTCCCGTTCCGTTTCGTGCGCGACGAGGAGTATCGAGGAATCATGCCGGAAGACTCCGACCGCGAAGCGTGGATCTACGCGCTGCCCTTGGAGCAGCTGCGAGATCAAGCGACGGCGCGCGGGATAAACGCAGCGGGCAACGCGGCGACCCTCCGTGCTCGCTTGCTGCGCTACGAGCGAGCGGAGCGGCGAGACCCTCCCCCGCCGTCCCCGGCGGAGGACGCGATGCGCCCGCCCCTGACGCGCGAAGACATCGGGGGGAAAACGGAGGAACCCGAGTTCGTCGATAGAACGGTCCTCGAGCCGGGGAAGGTCAGCCCCGATACCTTACAAGTGCCGACGGTGAGAATATCGTCACCGTACCGCGCGGTACCGCCACCGCCGTTATCGCTACCGCCAGAGGAGATACCTCCTCTTTTCGTACCGCAAGTTCCGAGATCGCCGACCCGAGGGCCGGGGATGCGCTCGAATCACCCCGCGATGTCGACCAGCGACGCATACAACGTGATGCGTCGCTGGAATATAAGTTTTTCCGGAGCGGCGGGAGGTGACGTAGAGGCGTTCCTCCTGCGAATATCGGAGGGGAGGGACATTGTGCCGATTGCCGACACCGATATGCTCAAGTGTATGCCGTTCTTCCTCACCGGCATCGCACTGGAGTGGTACCGTGTGGGCAAATCTCGTTGGTTCTCGTGGCGTGAGTTCGAGGTCGCGATGCGCTCACGGTTCGGCGACCCCGACTTCCAATTCGCGTTGCGCGATCAGATTTTGCGGCGCACTCAGGGGGAACAGGAACCGGTCGCGGATTATTTGACGTGCATGCGCGGGCTGTTCGGGCGGCTCGACCCACCGTGGGGTGAGGTCGAGCTGTTAAATTACGCGCATAGAAATATGCTCCCGCGCCTACAAATCTCGGTGCACCGAGATGATGTCGTGTCGATAGACGCGTTAGAGAGGCTCGCGACGCGCGTCGAGCGTAGTTACGCTGCCGCGAGTCAGTATCGTGCCCCTTCGCCTCCCGAGAGATCCGCGTGTCCGGATCTCGCCTACCGGCCGCCACCGCGCTCGTCTCGGCCGTCTCCCGCGATGACGGCCGAGCATTTATCGAATTATCGAGCCGCGGAGCGAGAGGAAATTCGTGAGAGGGAGCGTCCGCGCGCCGCGGAGGTGACGCGTCAACCGGCGGGGGCGACCCCGCCGGCTCCGGTGAGAGAGGATCGCTGGGCGACCCCTCGAGCCGGGGACGCGGGGACGGGGGCGAGGAGAAGTACTCGGCAGGAAACTGCCGGGGAACCTGCCCCCGGACCGGCAGCAAGGAGCGGTTCCGACAAATGTTGGAACTGCGACTCGGCCGGTCATTTGGCGCGCGAATGTCGCGCGCCCCCGCGAGTCCACTGCTATCGCTGCGGAAGGGGGCAGCATACAGTGAGGACGTGTCCCTCGTGCGCGGGAAACGGGGCAGGGAGACGCTAGAGAGGGTCCCTGCGTCTCCTCCCGCTTCCGAGACCCGCGAGAAAAGGCAGGGGGTGGCGAGCTCTTATGGTGCGTTCGAAGGGCGTGAGAGAGCGTCCCTGCAATTCCTTGAGATATTAATTGGTGAGTTTCCCCTGCTCGGGTTGGTCGATACCGGTTCGGATCGAACCCTTTTTGGTGTAGAGGGTATCGATGCAATCCGCGGGCAGGGGCTATCGTTCCCGAGTACCGTATCTTCCCGGATCCGTCTGGCGGACGGGACGCTGACCACGCTGGACGGGTCAGCGGACGTTATTCTCGAATTGCAGGGACGCCAAGAAACGCTCACGATCGGGTTTTTACCGAATCTCGCAGTACCGGCCATCCTGGGGATGGATTTTCTGGCGAGATTTCGTTTAGTTCTCGATTTCGCCCGGGGCGAATGGAGCTTCGCGGATGACGCCCTGAGCCGCTATCCTTTCTGCAACGAGCGCGGACAACAGAGCTTTTGTTGCGGGGTCTCGGAATTGTCGCGAGAGCAGGAAGTAAAGCTCACGAAATTTATCGATTCTACCGTACCGATCGCTGCCGAAAATCCCGGCGTCACGTCGCTGACGGAACATCGAGTCGACGTTGGGACGCATTTACCGATTCGGCAGCGATGTTACTTAGTGTCGCCTAAAGTGCAAGAGGCGATCCGTGGGGAAGTAGACGTTATGCTCAAGGCCGGAATTATCGAGCCCTCCGGTAGTGAGTGGTCAAATCCGGTAGTTATGGTGAAGAAACCGAGTGGCAAATATCGCTTCTGTATCGACTTTCGGAAAGTAAATAACGTCTCGAAGAAGGACGCATATCCGTTGCCAAACATGACGGGAATTCTCGACAAGTTACGGTCCGCGCGATACAT